ATTCATTAATGTATTAATATTAATAAAACTAATAGAAGATAACTTATCTCGCTTAATATTTTTTTTTAAATATGTGTTTTTTGAAAAAAGAAAATAAGAATTGTTTCTTTTTTACCAAAAAAATATTATTTTTTAAAAAATATATTATATTTGTTCAAAAACTTTTACTTCACGCATAAATATATTAAATTAGTTAAAAAAAAATTGAATTATTTATTAATATAACAATATTAAAAAATTATAGAACACAATTTATTTTGTTGACATTTCAGAGAAAACTTTAAAAGATATGTATTTTTTTGAACAACATAAAATAAGAAGTGTTACTTTTTTTACAAACAAAATATATCTCAAAAATAATTTAGCATATTTATTTAAGAAATATTTTACTCTAGAAAAATTAAATGTTTTTTAAATCATAGTAATGAAAAAATGAAAACCACTAATTATAATTTGAAATAAGTTTTTATTTTTATTTTAATTAAGTAATCAAAATGATCTATCATCCACATCACCTCATTAAAGCCACACAAGCAAAAAAAATCAAGAGGTTAACCGGTTTAAAAGGTAACAGGTTACCCATTGCTATAATAAGTAGATTTTTAAAGTACGATGCCTTAATAAAAAATAATTTGAAAGTATATTGTTACAATAAAGAAAAACAAAAATAAAATACTATAATAAAAAAATTTATAAAAGTAAGTTACTATTTGATGCATTTAACCCTTAGTTTTACTGGTATCATATCTTATTCATGGTAAATGCAAATCTTATACATAAAATAGGCATTATTTGCATACTATTAACCATTTTTAAGTGTAGATATTTCGGTCTTTTTAAAAAGTTATATTAAAACTCTACAAATATAAAAACAATATTTAATATAAAAAATATTTAAATAACATATAAAATGGTTGATTTTAATACAATTAATTAATTTGAATGTGATTTTATATGCAGGGATAAGCCTGAACCCTGAAGTCATGTGCCCATTTCCATAAAGTTGCTTACCTACTCATTTTCTTGGACAAGTATGTAACATATGTGCAACTATTTCATATATTTGCATCATCGTTGTATTCTATGCATTAAAACTTGTACTTCATATCGTATCGTAAATAGTGAACTTGTATATTCTTAAGAGAGAAAAAAACGAGCGTGACATTACGTAGAACCCGTTAGATTATTCTTTAAAATAGTCGTCGAGGAGTTAACGAGCACCCCAAAATATTTTGAACAGAAAGTATTCAAGTTTAGCTGATATGAGACTCTAGCACTGTCTCTCCAATCGAGGCAAAAATGTCTTAGAATGTTGAGTGTCACTGGTAAAAAACGTTGCGTATGGAAAATTTTGGTTTTAATATCATGTGAGAATATGTGGAACCTCATTACATTATTTTCCAAAAGAGTCCTTGAAGAGAACGAGGAATGAATCACATTCCATTTCAATTCTCATTCCCATTCCCATCTTGATTCCATCGGTACAGCCTTTTTGGCAATTTGAAGTATACATCATATAACATACAGTCCAAATCGACAGTTTACAGAGTCACCTTTATTGATGCTGTTCTTATTTGTTCGATGTAAAACAAGACCTGATAAAAACACTATCTAGTTGTCATTCACAAAGTTATGCCCCCACAAACATATGTGAATTATTGTTTACTATTACATGTGATACATTATTGTTGTCATACATTAATGTCAAACCAACTTTGAAGGTAAGAACAATATCACCCAACCCCACAAAATCAAGATGCTTTCTATGGAACTCAAACATCCATTCCATGTCTTTTTATCCGAATTCGAACATATATTTTCTCAAATCAATACATCAAATGTCATTAGACTCGAAATCTGTTCGACAAATTCTCCCTAAACGAAGATACGAAGACAGTATCAAGAAAAGATTGATCAAATGACCGCAAATCGCTCAACAGCTGGTGTCATCATTGTTCTGTTATAAGGCCATGTTTGACAACCGTAAATAAGCTTATTTTTTGAGCTTAATGAAAAACCCTGTTTTTGGTTAGCCACAAAGGGTTTTTTCCACTTTATTTTTCCAATTATGTCGATTATGTTTTTTCCATTGTCATCTAACTCATAAGCTAGTTTTTTTACCAAAAATTACTAGTTTATCAACTAGCTTACCAACCAACGGCTAGCTTATTCACCTACAGATATCTTATCAATTACTACCTCGCCCCAAGATAAATGTACACAATGAAAAAAGACGTAGTTTCACGAATGTGTAACTATTACACTTTTTTTAGTTAACGAAAGGACAATTTTACCTTTAATTATGAAGAGAAATTTCTCCATAGCATAGCTAAGGGTAGAAATGGAAATTAAACGTTTACTTTTTTGAAAGTAGACACTTATTTTAAGACAAACTAAAATAGTAACGATGGAGTAGTTTGCTAATAAGTTGGAAAGTAGCCTATGACTCAAAGGTTCACCAAATGAATCAAATGATTATAAGGTTTTAATAAGAGTATGTATGCACATGTGAATGCAAAACAACATGCCTGATTCAGAAAATCATCTAACAACCATCCAAGTCAAGAATCTTGAAGCTCCAAGGCTTTGGATCTATAAAACCAGAGTTCTTGGTTCAATAAGCAAAAAGAAGTCTACAGAACAAGAATCAAGAACCTATCAGAATACATGGTTTTAGCCAGAAAAATACTTATTCATTAGTGAATTTGCACCTTAACAACATATTTTTGGCGAATAGATATGCAAAACAAGGTTTGTAAAACAATTACCATGCTACCATCGGAAGTTCAATGAGCGTTGTTAAGGGTTCTGATTGACACACGACAAACTGGACCCAATCTCATCTGCTGCTCCTGAGCCCGGATCTTCTTGAACAAGGGTTTTTCTGGCGAAGATGAAACCGACGAGGATGCAACTGCCCACGAATCACTAGAGTTATCGCTGCTGAAATAGGAATCTATCACACCACTCGGACTTCCAGGGGCAAAATGGTACTTTCGCTTAGTTCCATGATTATCCGATACTTCCAGAATGAATTTAGAGCAGTCATCTACTTCTTCCTGCCATGATTTATAGAAACCTTAGATTTCAGCAAGGTTGCAACATCAAGAGCATGAACTCTGCACGCTCTAATGTATTTCTAAATTTTTTTACTGGAGCAAAGCTGTTTTGAAGACTATTTAGCTAAATGACCTCCTTACAACTGCTTATTAAATCCATTACCTCCTTACAACTGCATTTAAATTCATGACCTTCTGACAAGTGTTTTTTTTTAATCCATGGCCTTCATAAAGATTTCTAGGCATTCTTTTGTTACTCGGTGACATTTTCAAACCTATCAGAAAGTCATGGATCTAAAAGAAATCTGTGAGAAGGTCATTTAACCAAGGGGTGGGCTAAGATGCACCATATATATTGCTAAATGCACCCCGACCTACTAATTTCCTCCTCACACACATCAATATCAAAGACTTAGTTTTTACATTTCCAATGTATGATTTGATATGATTTTGACGTAAAAGAGGGTGCATATAGGCATCACCCTTGACCAAAGGACCCTTGTTTTGAACCAGAAGCAGGTCAAAGAAGTCACTGTATTTGATTCTTGATGTATTAAAACCATCATTCTCGTACAAATGCGTAGAAAACTACACTTCAACTTTGTAGGAATGAACGATTTTGAACAAATTTGTAGAAATGAAAATGCAAAAATAACTCCCAAATCTCATCTCCTTTTCTCTCCATCTTCAGGTTTTTCTATTTGATTCTCTTTCTAATCATCGAATTCGTTCATTCAAGATACATGCATTCATTTATCCAACTAGTTTTCAATCATTATGATGTAATGTGAAAAAAGAAAACAGTTAAAGAACAAACCTCGTTAATTTCAAGAAAACCCTTTAGCAGATTTTGATAATCTAATGCATTGGTGGGATCGACCTCTTTGATCACAAGAATCATCGTAGCAGTGGCCATTACAGATGGAAGATAAACCAGAGACCTGGAATCTGCATTCATTCTACAGAGATCAGCAACTTGATTTGAACGAAAATTCAAACATATTTCGGAAATCCGTCATTCTTTCAACACACAGCCTACATCGAATCGTACATCAGAGCATTACTTTGTCAAAACTCCGTTAATCTAAACATTATGTCCATCTTACCATTATGTTACTACAACAAAATCGGTTTTACAAGATGTCATATATGTCTAAATGTCCTAATAAACTGTTTTATAGGATTTTAAGTTTTACAGGACCAAACAATTGTGTGCATATTGAATTCATTGTTGTAAAACATGCCCAAATTATCGAATTCATGCATATTCATAAGCTTACCATTGATGACAGCTAGAACAATTCTTTCACACCTTCTAACGAACTCTGAATGAAGATGATGAGTGATTAAACCGAGCCTCCGCATAATATAATCGTAAAATGATAATGGGGTTACTGGATTCATCTTCCATTGAAGAGAAGAAAGCACCAAAAGTTCCATTTTCATAATAGTTTTTGATTCAAACATAAATTTTGAACCTTCCACCTAAACAAAAAAACACCCACAAAAGAAAGACCTGCATTAGCAACAAATGCAAAACCATTGTGGCATTTTCACAAACACTTGGAGTACAGTCAGATAGATGGCATATAATAAACACATACTTGCAAGTCCAAGAGAAGAGGGGCTTGGATTTCTTCAACTTTTGAAGCTATAGAAAGGCAAGCTACAGCAGCTAGCTGACTCATCCATGGCTTCTCCCTTTGAAAACTAGGGCTCAATAAAAACCTATCGAAGTAATTAACAGCTAAAATGGTCGTCATAGCAACAAATCCATAATGAGTACTAACCCTAATCATCCAATCGACAGATTCTTTTCTTAAACCCATTAAAACCTCATTACAAATCAAATCCCCATCTCCAGAAACGTTGTTTTTCTCTTTAGACAAAAGGGAAGAAAGCTCATCTTCTTCCCATAAAAGATCATGTTCAAAATGGGTAAAAAGATGATCTTTTCGTTTCGAGATTTGAATTTCGTGGTCAAACCCACATCCGAAATCCAAATCCTTTTCTTGTTCATCGCAGAAAAGACCATCTTCGAAAGCAAATGTAGGGTTTTGCGAACACACATTCACCTCTTTCATCATCTTCTTGTGATAAGTGGATGTAAGAAACTCTATTCATTATCTTCAAGAAACAAGAAGACGAAGGTCACCCTTTGTACCATTTCTCTCTCTCTCTCTCTCTAGACTCCACACCCAAACAATCTCTGCAAGTTCTAGAGAGAGACTGACCCAAAATAAACAAGCAAAGCAAAGGGATTTTATCTGGAACCCTTTCACGCCTGTCTTTCTTTCTTTCTTCTCTCTCTCTCCCCCCTTTCTATAAGCTTTAATTTTTAATTGTTTTAATGGAGGTATTTTGAGAGCTTTTTGGGGACTGTTTGACTCTCGAGAGAAATGCAAATGTAACGGCAACATTCCATCGTATATACGGGGAAGAGAAGAGGGGTTGCAGCTTTTTCTTCATTTATCTCCTTATGCTCTTTGCTTTTCACCACTTTACCCCCTTTTAACTTTAAACCTCTTTCAAATTGTTACCCTCTTCCACTTATATTTTATGGGTTCGTTTTCCGAGTTGGTTTAATTATGGTAACCAATAAAACGAACCCGCATACTAAAGTTTCGTCTTTTAGTTGTTCATCCTTCAGGGTATAATTTTTTTGACAAGCGGAAGACGGAGGAGCGGATTCTTGAAGCGACCTTTCTTTCGATTTCAAGATTGTCAGATTCGGTGTTTATCTTCCCTCGATTCTGACCTGTGGATCGGGGATGCGAAAACTGCCCAATAAGTGCATCAAGGTGTCGATGCCACTACTTTACTTTGATTCCTTATGTGGAACGCGGAGCAACGGTTGGTTGTTGTGTGGTTCAAAGAGTGTTTACATTTAGATTGTTAGTAGGAAAGTTATTATAAATCAAGAAAGCACATTGTAGCAGTGTGAACTTAGGGCGCAATTTTGGAACGATGAATTTTTTATTCAGGTGATTCTACATCATAAATGCCTGTATAAATGGATCTTGTGTAACACCTTTATTAGAACTTCTGAACACAACTAAAGTAAAAGACTTTTGCCTACGGACATTTCCCTGAAAAACCTGTCGCTAAAGGTTGATTCGTCACAAAACCATCACAAAAGTTGGTAGCTAAATCGTTGGTGGGTAATTCAAATCAATGACAGATTACTCAGAGATTCTCTGGCTGATCCATTGGTATTTTCTAAAAAAACATCGGATTCTACCGAAACATTGCTACTTTCTGGGTGATCCATATAGGTAATCACACACAAAAATTTCCCTATATGATTTTTGTATTTACACAAGGGTGGTGCCTGATTGGTTTAATTTGACTCCAAATGTCAAAAGTATCAGGAGGTCACAAGTTCAAATCCAAGAAGAAATAAAAATCTCCTTGTGGCCACAGAGGTTCAAATGACGGTGACTTCAGGCTATCTACAAAGCATGTGGTCGTCCTGGGATTAGTTGGCTCACATAGCAAGTTAGATATCCAGGTTAATCAAAAAAAAAATGTGATGTTTAAATTATCTATGTTAGTAAATACCATTTTACTGACTTTAATGCCATATGTCATGTTTATATGGTGGATAACATGTCAAACTACATACCGATCAATCATTTGGTGTCGAATTCGATAAGTATCACTGAAGAAATAAAATATGTAAATAAAACACATACAAGTCTTCTGTATTTTTGGTTTGTCTACGAGTGTTCAATAGCTATTAAAACAACTAAATGTTGCTATACACCAGTGTTTTTGGGTAACCGCAGGTATTCATTCCAGCTTACATCACTAACCCCCTAAACGAACACGATTTTTCTGGAGTCATCACATGTGAACCTTCATAGACACCACTTGTTTGCAATGTTCTTGCAAGAACATAAAAAATTGTAAAAAAAAATTGAAGAATAAGTTAAAAATGTAAATCATAAAAACTATAGAGGCTAAAAGTGAAAATTCAGTATCTACGGTCAGGTGGAAAGACATGTACGCAGAGAGAGAAATACGTATATGCGATACATTAGCAGTGTATTGCACGCGCCTACGTGGCAGGCTATGATAAGCTGAGATTTCTGAGAACGGATGGAGAGTGGGAGTGTTGTACACGCCGTAGAAGTGCGAGTATGAGTAATTTAGGTATAGAAGTAGGTGCTTTAAAGACTTTGACTGTTTTTGTCTTCAACTAGGACTAGAGAGAAGCATAGGGTACACCGAGATTTGGTTTCTTTAAAATTATATATATATATATATATATATAATATAATATAATATATTTTCGTAATTATATTTAAATAAATATATTATTTATAAACATATATTGGATATAATATAAAAAGTATACAATTTATTTATTAATAAAAAAATAAATTATGTGAATTAATTTTTGTATCAATTACTTGTATTAAGTAATTCACTTATGATTAAACGAAAATGATGACGACATTTGTCTTTTGATTTTTTCTTTTTCAAAAATATGATAATTGTAATATTTGAAATCATTTTTTATAGATAAAATATTATTTATTGATGCATATTACTTAAAATTTTGAAATTACAATTATACGTAAGTATAACTTATTAAAGCTTCATTTTTTAATTTGTGTAACCAACTATAGATAAATCAAATATGGGATATCATCTCATTTTAAATATAAAAAATCTAAAATATAATTAGGATAATCATTAGTTATAATAAAATATTTAATTATTATCTTTATAAAAAAATATTAATAAATGATAAATAAATTACTTTGTGATTAAGTCTAAACTAAATTACAAATAAAATATTGAATTAAAGAAATTATACAAAAAATGAGAACTTTAAATAGTAAATTTTATGTTGATATCGATATATGTTTTTTTTCAAATTTTTATGATATTTTTTATTTTATATTTTATTCAAAAATACAAACGTCTTCGCTTTCTCAAAACCTCTAAATACCGTATTATATCTACATAAATAAATAATAAAATGAAACATTAAAAATGAAATGTAATTCACTATATTACGTGAACACCCTTCTAATGTATATATAATACGTCTAAAAATGAGTTAACAATAAAAGTAATTGTTATTTATTTTTGTTTTAAACTATAGTAAATAGCTTCATTTTTACATTAAACTAGTTTTGTATCCGCGCAATGCAGCGGAAGCCGTAAATTGTAACGATTTTGAAGTTTTACTGGTTTTATTATAGAAGAATTAACGATGATATAAGTTACACTTGGTTTTTACATATTAATACAGTTTTAATAAGTAAGAGTTGTGGTTCCAATTACAGTCTATCGATAGAAAAAAAATTGTATGACATATTTACAATCCAACATATTTAAACGATTCCACAAATGTGTTCGATTTACACAAAGAGCAAAGAATCAAGAGATCAAGAGCAAGACCGAGAGTTCTAAAGCAATTGAATGTGAGAACTTTTAGCAACTCATGGTAAATATCAATTTGAATCTCACATTGGGAGATGGAAAGAAGACATAGAGGTATGAGAGGGTGAAGACATGAATAAAAGGTGTCAAAAATATCTTGAAAACATGAAAAGAAAAAGTAATAATAATATGCATTGGTAACTTGTAATATATGTTATTTTAGTTGTAGATTAAGAGATTTTAAGACTGAATACATAAAGTAGTAGTACTTAATGCATTATGAGTTATTTTTAAAACTTTTAAGACTTTGTGCATACATATATAATACTTTGTGCATTAAAATTTATTTTTAAAACTTTTGATAAATTTGGTTTATAAAGTAATATAGATAATTATTTTACTGATAAATATATAAAAATTATCATATTTTTAGCTTTTTTCACGATTTATATGAACAACGTAATTTTTCAAAGTTAATGCCAAACTACAACAGTTTTATATATTCAAAATCCTTCTTAAATATCATTGGTTCGAGTCATGCAAATATACTGAGGATTTTTATGATTGTTCTGTATGATCCATAAAATTACTCAAAGGTATACACAAACTGACTTGAACACTTATAATTAAAATATTCGTTTTTAAATTTTTATTGTTTATCAGGTGTTTTAAATTAAGTTTTAACTGATAAATATTATTCTTGTATATGATTTATTATTTTTAATGTTTTTATACTAAAAAAATCATTAACTATAGAAATTGTGATTATAAATCATTGATAAATATGGGTTTTTGGGCAAAAGGTTTATTGGTATGAGATGGATTTTATACAGATTTTTAAGTCTAAAATATTAAGGATTTAAATTAAATATTTAATGCAAATGCAATTAATTAGAGCATGATGGGAATATTGTAGTATTGGATCCATAATTAATCTGGCCTTTTGGTCAATAAGATATTATAGAAAATTATTTACCAAAATTGGTGGATCATAGAGATTTTTTTAGAATATTTTCAGAATAAATTAAATGTTTTAAATTTTAATATTATATTTTAGCCTCCAATGTTGTAACTTGACTAGTTGTGTACCCGTGCAATGTGGCGGGAGCCATGAATTTTAACGATTTTAAAGTTTCATTGGTTTTATAAGATAAGATTTAACGATGATATATRTTACATTTGGTCTTTACATATTAATACAATTTGAATAAATAAGAGTTATGGTTCCAATTACAGACTATCGATGAAAAAAATTGTATGACA